TTTCTATATTTTAAGGGGAGGGTAAACCTATATTTTCAACTATATGAAGAAAATATTTTAAATATTTTTATTAAATTTTTATTATAGATTACCTTAGACCAAGAAATTTTTAATAATTCAACCGACCACAAAAACTCACTGATTGTCAATTAAAACCATGATTTTTAACTGATTTAAATTAGCAGAGAAACAGAAAAGGAAAATTGTTTAATTTTTGAATATGATTTTGAGACTCTCTCTCTCTCCCTCACGATTTTCCTGGAATAAATCCTGATGACCATTAACTCTGCCGAACCTCTACCACGCGCACGTAAATACATATAGCGTGGCAAAAGTTTAGCTCACTGCAAACCTCCAGGGAGTTTAGTAGCATACAACAATGAAGGGGAGGAAAGAGGGAGAGATTAAACGTGAATCGTACATTTTACATCGAACCAGATTCGATATTCCCTTTTGTAAATGAACTGTTCGAAATCAGTTTATCTTTTACTGATATATGTATGTACATACGCATACATGTGCGTGTTATTGCCAGAATTTGACTTGGAATATGTGAAATGTACACTGTTAGAAATTTCTGTAATTTTACAGCAACTTTACAGTACAAACATACTGTGAATTTACAGTTTTTGCTGTAATAACACATAAATGTAGTAAATTCACAAAAATGTTGTAATTTTTACAGTAAAACCTTACAAATACAGCAAAATTTCATTGTATTTGAATAATTCACAGCAAAAAAAAATTGTACTTTTTATTTACAGTAAATTGTTTGCGAAATCACAGTATAAAACTCAAAGAATTTTACAGATATTCATTTTGTGATTTTAGCTGAGGTTTTTTACATTATAACTATAGCATTGACTGAATTTTAACCTTAAGAATATGATTTTAAGTCCTAAAAGTATAGCTGAATCATTTTTCAAGCTTAAAAATAGTTTCAATAAAAACTATTTTTTAATTATATTGCATTTTAGTATTAGTGAATAATTTTGGACTGAAAAGAAGAATAGAGTATGGTACACATGTTTCTTATATTTGATACTGTAACAAATTTAGTTTATTTTTATTTTTTGTCTTATGCAAAATTTTAATTTAACTTTACTTTAGTTCGGAGATGTATAATTTTAATAAATATAACATTAATTTTTATAATTTGACAAAAAGATAATATTTTATTCCTTATTAATTTGCGATTATTACATTAAATTAATTCATTTTTAACTGTCGATCGAAGAAAAGTCATTCAACATTCATATAATAAATAATTTGATTATTATTTGATTTTTATTATTATTTGATATTATTATAATGACTATTTCGCATATACATAATACTTTGCAAGAGACTTTCATAGCCTCTCTTGGTCGAGCGCGTCTAGGCGCAGCTCCCAAGGTTGATGGCTCCATACAAGATAGACAACACTATATACGACTAAGGGTTCAAATCGTGGCGTCGCATTTCCGTAATAATGATAATAAAATGCTAATAAAACTTTTTTTTTAGTTAATTTACTTTTATTATAACATATCAGAAAACAATATAAACAGTTTTGATTTTTTATGTAAATATTCAAATGATAGAATTTCCGAATTAATAGTAGGGAATATTTTTGAAATACATGGTATACTGTAAATTTACAGCACTTTAGTGAAGTAAAATTACAATATTATTTTGATGGATAATAGTTTCTTGTACTTTTGCTGTAAAATCACAACAGAATTTTCTAACAGTGTATTCTTTACTTTCGGTCATGTTGCATACTTTATGAATATGCAACATGGCATGCAATTCACTAAATTTCTAAATTTTTATATGCATTCAGTGAATTTAGAATTCTATGGAAAGTATTTTTACTATCATGAAACATGTTTTAAAGCATTTTGGTGTTATTTTTAAGTATGAATGAAATTTTACTTTAAATAAAACATCAAAGTCAACGATTTGTAAAAAATCAACTAATTTATAGCGTCTCCAGGGAGAATAGTAAGTAAGTTACTAACTTAGTAACTAACTTAGTAACATAGTTACTAAATTCAATTTTGTTCACAAATTTTTAAAAATTCTCGTCAAAATTTCCATTCTCTTTATAAATAATAAAATCCTTCTCTAATAATCAATTATTTTACAAAATTTTAATCAAATTCTTGTCAAAATTTCAATTATTTTCAAAAGTTTTCTAAAATTCAATGATTTTCAATATCTACTACATATTTCAATAAAATTTTCCAAAAGAATTCCATTATTAAAAAAAAATTTGAATAAAATTCTACGCAAACATTCAATTATTTTCATAAATAATAAAATTTTTTACAGGAATTCAATTATTTACAAAATTTTTTTATAAATTTCTTCGCAATAATTCAATTATTTTCATAAATAATAACTTTTTTACAGGGATTCAATTATTTTTATAAATAATAAAATTCTTTTAGGAATTCAATTATTTTCATAAATAATAAAACTCATTGCAGAATTCAAATTATTTTTAATGTAATTTTAATCGAATTTCTCGAAAAATGTAATTATTCTTAAAAATTTTATTAAAATTCGTCCAAAGAATTTAATGATTTAAAAAATTTGTTGATAACATTTTTTATGAGAATTTAATTTCAAGAAACATGAAATTATTAAATTATTTATTTTTGTATTTAAATAATTGAATTCTCGTAGAAATTACTAATAAAAATGGTTTTAAAAATTAATTTCAGTTAAAATTTTAGATTATAATTAAATATTACAAGCATTATAACGTGGATTTTTAGAAATAATTAAATTTTGAAAAAGTTTCCAATTAAAATCATTGAAATTCTCAATTTTCATATTTTTGACAAACAATTCTGTAGTATTAATTCTTTTTCAAAGTTTAATAGGATTTTTATTGAAATCATTTCAAGTTTTTATTTTTCAATATATATTTAATTGCAGAATTTCCGAATAATTGAAATTTTGTAAAATTGAATTGTAAACGAATGAATTTGAAAATTCTCAAAGAACTTTTTTAAAAATTATTAAAAATAATGGATTTTATTGAAGAATTTTAGTTAAAAACACTAGAAAAAAATTTAATTTTAGAGAAGTTATAAATTATTGCAGAAATTCAATTATTTTCAAGAGTAATAAAATTCTTCTTAAGGATTCAATTATTTTTACTAATAATAAAACTCATCGCAGCGTTTTAATTATTTTTCATACAATTATAATTGAATTCCTTAAAAAAAGTAATTATGTTCATGCAAGTTTTAATAAAATTCGTTAAAAGAATTCAATTACTTAAAAATTTGTTAATAAAATTCTTTATGAGAATTGAATTTTGAGAAACATTCAATTATTCAATAAATTATTTACTTTTGCATTTAAATAATTAAATTCTTGTAGAATCTAATAAAAATTTATTTAAAAATGAATTTCAGTTAAAATTTTAGATTATAATTAAATATTAAAAGCATTATAACGTGGATTTTTAGAAATAATTAAATTTTGAAAAAGTTTCAAACTAAAATCATTGAAATTCTTAATTTTTCATATTTTTGACAAACAATTCTGTAGAATTAATTCTTTTTCAAAGTTTAATAGGATTTTTATTGAAATCATTTCAAGTTTTTATTTTTCAATATATATTTAATTGCAGAATTATCGAATAATTGAAATTTTGTAAAATTTAATTGTAAACGAATGAATTTGAAAATTCTCAAAAGAATTTTTTTAAAAATTATTAAAAATAATGGATTTATTGAAGAACTTTAGTTAAAAACACTAGAAAAAATTTAATTTTAGAGAAGTTACAAATTATTGCAGAAATTCAATTATTTTCAAGAGTAATAAAATTCTTCGTAAGGATTCAATTATTTTTACTAATAATAAAACTGATCGCAGCGTTTCAATTATTTTTCATACAATTATAATTGAATTCCTGAAAAAAAGTAATTATGTTCATGCAAGTTTTAATAAAATTCGTTAAAAGAATTCAATTACTTAAGAATTTGTTAATAAAATTCTTTATGAGAATTGAATTTTGAGAAACATTCAATTATTCAATAAATTATTTACTTTTGCATTTAAATAATTAAATTCTTGTAGAATTTTCTAATAAAAATTTATTTTCATTTCATAAAAATTAATTTCACTTAAAATTTTAGATTATAATTGAATATTAAAAGCAATAAAGCGTGAATTTTTAGAAATAATTGAATTTTGAAATTAATTTTTTTTGAAAAAGTTTAATTGAATTTTGAAATTATTTTTTTTTGAAAAAGTTTAATTGAATTTTCTTTTATATCATATTTGAAGGTTTTATTTTCTAATATGCATTTAATTAAAGAATTTAGAAATAATTGAAATTTCGTGAAATTGAATATTGTAAAAAAATGAATTTGAAAATTGCCAAAGAACTTTTTCGAAAATTATTAAAAATAATTGGATATAAAGTAAAATTGTAGTTAAAAATTTTTGAAAATAATAATTGAATTGAAATAATGAAAATAATTTGGAAGAAGTATAATATTCTTATAATATAAAATAATTATTTTATTACTTTGTCATCTTTAATTATTATAAAATATGAAGAAATCGATGACTCCGAGTCGAAGACTCGGAGTTATCGATATCTTCATGTTTTATAGTTATAAAAAATTTAATGAACTAAAATTTTATTTATTGTAAAAAATAACACCAAAATTAATTATTTTAATCTTTTTTGATGTTAATTTATTTAAAAGAAAATTCATTTTATAAAACATGTTGAACATGTTCAAGTGCAACTGAATATTTTCATGTTTGAAAAATTTTAAGCGCAATTTTCAAAACCAGATGAAAATAGAAAAAAAAGTTGTGATAATAAAAAGTCGTGTCATAAATTAAAACTTGTGTGCCTTAGGATTTTTATTTATTTATTTTTTTCTCTATATTGCGCCTTTCCCGAGACATAAATATTGCAAAACTGCGCGCAATTACTCTCAATAAAAGCATAAAATCCTAAAATACCGTTTTATGTTTTTCAGGTAAGGAAGATATTGCTAAGCCACATTGGACATGGTTGCAAGGTGAGTAGTGCTTTATCGCAAAATAAACCTTGAAATATCTCTTTGTCGAACTCCCGTAATCCGTCGACGGGCACGATATCGTCGAAATCGTTTAATATAAGTTTTAATCCCCTTGACCCTCCCCCTCACTCCGAGTGTTGAATCAAAATTTATTTCTTTCCCTCGTGCCTATTTTTTCATACACGTTGACATTGCAGATGGCCCTCCCCCAATTGTCATTCTGATTTTTCCTCCAATCAGACTTTTGGAATTTTTTGAGAAAAAAAAGAACATTGAGCAAAAATCTTTGAGAAAAGAATCATTTAGAAAAAAACTTTGAGAATAGAATTATTCGGCAAAAAAAAACCTTTGAGAAAAGAATCATTCAGCAAAAAACGCCTTTGAGAATGGAATCATTCAGCAAAAAATCTTTGAAGAAAATGAAGAAAACTGTGAAGAATAAAAAATTCGTTTGGGTGTAGTTTTCATAGAAATTTTTTTTCCTTTCCTGAAAAGATGAAAAAGGCTAACAGCTGTGTTCGTGGTTTTTTTTTTTTTTTTGAAAGGGCGAACTCGATGGCAGGATGATACCTTCGGGGGTGATCGATAAATATTGGCTCTCGGGGGTGAAATAGGGGGTGGGGGTGGAGGACAGTCGTGCTGCGGTTGCCGCCCCCTTTCGTATGCCACACGACGTATGGTAGATATAACCACTTGGTACAGGCAATAGAGAATCGCTCACCAACTGTAATTCCCTGCGACTTCTGATCGATACTCTACTTTTGCCTGATCTAAAAATGGAGGGTTGACACTAAATTTACGAGGGACAGTGCCACCATGTGCATATCATCCCCCTCGCTTATTTCTCTCTCTTTTGTAGAATTTAGAAATAAAACAAAAAGGGAAAATAAAAAAAAAAAATTTATTTTAAACTCGTGATTTATACACGAAAAATATTTTTGTTTTGTATACATTGTTTCAGTAGTTTTTCCTTTTCTAAATTCAACTCAGCTTTTCATTTCTATTTATAATGATAAGAAGAATCAAATTTATTTTTAATAATAAGAAGAATCTAATTTATTTCTCATCTAAATAGGAAGAATATTAATTATTAAAATAATAATGATAACAATAATAATAATTAAAATTAAAATAAATATTTAAAAAAAAAATAATATATAAAAGAATGAATAAAATTTCGAGGTTAACGATCACTTCGAGTCAAAATTTTGACTCGGAGTGATCGTTAACCACAAAATTTTATTTACAATTAAAACTGCCGAGCGATAAAGTAAGAAAATTAATATAAAAAATATTAATTATTTTATTAAGTAAAAGAATAATAATAATAACTACAATAGAAATAAAAGAATCATGCTAACAACTGAGACTGAGAAAAGCGACTCCCCTCCAAACTGAATTTAATTAAACTAATTGAAATAATTATAAAGCAGTCCCCCTCTATAAAAATCGCAAGATTAAAGAATGGCGACAAAAAAATTAATTTTCCGTTAAATTTTAAAAAATATTTTCAATATTTTCTATTTTTGAACCGTGGCCAAAGTATGGGCAAAGTATGAAATTATAAAAATCCAATGAAAAAAATTGAGGTACAAAAATTTAAATAGTTGTCTTGAATGAAATTGTCCCTTTTTTGCGTTCCTCATATTTCAATGACACTGTGAATCGAAAGTATAGATAAACTTAACATTTTAAATTTCTGAAAATAATTAAATTAATAGAGTAATTTAATTGGAATTATATTGAAAAAAATAATTAAATTTTTGTACAGGATTTTATCAAAATTGTTGAAAATAATTGTATTTTTTAGAATAATTTTTTTTTAATTTTATAGAATACTTAATTGAAATTTTTCTGGAAATTTTTTTATTTACGAAAATAATTGAATGTTTCTGAAGAATTTTATTATTTATGTAAATAATTAAAATCCTGCGATTTTAACATTAACTATTTTAATTTTAAATACTGATTTTATAGCCTAAAAAGTAAAAACGTGGCTATTTCACGTTTCATTATTTATTTAGGACATTTTTATTTTGGATTTTTGTATTTTGGACTTTTTTCTTGGATTTTTCGGTCTGGATTTTTTGTCCTGTAATGTTTTTAAAATATAATGTCAAATTATTATGAACTGTGGACAAAATATGGCAAACTAAGGAAAAACGAAAAAGGATTTTTTTTGGAAAAAATAATTTTTTTTACCGGAAAACCCGGGAAATGTCAGTGAATTTTTATCTTGACCGGGAGTTTTGAAATGTTTTGTTAAAAACACTGATTATTTTGTAAGAAAAAATTGAAATATTTATTTTAAGACTTCTTAGTTATATTTCATTAAAAAAGATTGAACGATCTTTTATAAAATAGTTTTATTTTGTCAGGAAATTTTATCAAAAGTACCGGAAGAATATTCAATTTCTAGAATTTCTAAGAAAATTATGAATTTTGTTGTCCAACTTAACAGACTTAAGAGAAAAGAAAATATTAAATTTAATGTTAAATTCTTTCTATTTCTAACAATAATTGAACAAAATACAATTTTAATTAAATTCGTCGATAAAATTTGAAAGAGAAAAAATTTCACATCTTATAAAATAGTGAAAAATAAATCAATTTATGAATTTTTTTGCAATAATGATATTACAAAACAAATTGTAATTAGTAAAAATTTGAACTAATTAGAGCAAAAAGTGATACGAATTTTCTGAAAATGAATTTTTTAATAATAAATAAAGTAAATAAAAATAAATAAAATTATTTTTTCTTCGAAAATAAATTTTTTAAAAAATCGTATTTTCCATTAATATTAATTAGTTTTTCTACAATAATTTATAAGTAACTATTTCTATATTTTAGAATGTTAAATTATTATTACTAATACTAATATAGATTGAATTTCAAAAAGTTCAAAATTAATTTAGAAAAGTTGAAAATAGTAAAAAATTTTAATTAAAAACTCTGAATAAGTTAGTTTTTTGAAATATTTTAGTTAAAATTTCTAGAAAATAATTGAATTGAAATCTTGAAAATAATTTTTAAAAAGTTACAGCCTAGCAATTCTTATAAATTATTCAATTTTAAAAGGATTTGAAATTTGAAATTTTAATGCCTGAGGAAAAATACATAATAGATAATAATTAAATATTTATTTTAAAAAATCTATTTAAGTTCCAAATGATTTTATACAATTAAAGATATTAAAAAAATGTATTACACAAATTTTTTGCACTTTCAATTATTTTTGGAGTAAACTAAAATAATATTTTTAGGGTTTTGGACAAAGTAAAAAATTTGTCTTCAAATCAGGGAAAAATATTTGTCTTCTTTTTATGGTTCGTTATACTTTCCCTATAGTTTCAAAACATTAAAAAAATAGTTATTTTTCTTTCCTTTCTTCGCCATACTTTGCCCATGGTTTAAAAGAAAAATAAAATCAATTTTTTCTTCCCATAGTTTGAAAATATTTAAAAAAAATTCATCTTCCTGTTTCGTCATACTTTGACCATGGATTGAAAATATAAAAAAATTGAGAAATAAGATTCTGTTTATTACAATTGATTTAATAAAAAATTAATTTTCGTTGTCGACAGTTATAATATTGTAGTTAATAATAGTTTAGACGAGCATTGAACGAGGAGAAGCGTCTCCCCACCACTGAGAAATTATGCGAAGGGTGGGGGGACGCTGCAGTTAGTCCGACGTCTTCAACTCGAAGCGCTATAAATTTTATTTTTATTTTAATTTAAAAAAAGGGTAAAAACAAAAATTTAGTCATTAGATAGTCATAACGTGGAGTTAAATTAAAAAAAATACGAATATTGAAATATGTCATCACGATTCTTGCAAAAAACGAGTCCAAATACGAGTAATAAAGAGAGAACATTTTTCTCAACTCTTCTATTTACCTTGGTAAATAGAAAACCCTCGTGTTCATTTTGAAAGGGGGATGAGAGAGAAATGGATTTGGTTAGAATTCGGATGAGGTAAGCGGCTCGAGGAAGCTGGATGCTTCTCGAGGCGTGAAATGGCTGCGTTAACCACTTGCACACCCTCTCACGAGGAAAAGGGCGGACATTTTCTATGGCCCCCTGGCACGAAGGAGAGCGTCCAGAATGTTTGGAGGCAGCGTAATATTCCCCTTCCCCCTCTTTTCATTTCTCTCACTTTTTCCCTCTCTCTCTTTCTCTTGTTAGATTTCTCTCTCTGTCTGTGTGTGTGTGTGTGTGTGTGTGTGTGTGTCTCGAAAAGATCTCAGAGAGGTAAGATAAAAGTTATGCGCTCTGCTATGCGCGAGGGAGTCGTACATCAGCCGTTGGACGTTTGCGGGGTGGAGGGAGGACACAACCCCCTTCATCCCTCGAGTTTCATCCGAAAACCCCGGGCCTCTATATTCGTATCTCGCTATCTTGGAGCCCCAGCCACGTCGTCCGCACTCGGCTCGTCTCTAGATCGTAAATATATTTCTCGATATATCATTGAAGTACCTACATAGAAAATGCCAAAGTAAGCACAGCACACGAGACTACGACGACTGGTCCTTGTGTGCGCGCCACGTAAGGGGCATTTAATATTTGTCTATACATACAATATTGGGCGTGGTGCATTCACTCAAACTAATATTTATTACATCACTGTACTCGTATGTTTGATACTCTTCATGAAATTAATTTTCCCTAAACTAATTTTTTCCCAAAACATTAGTTTGGGGAAAAATTTATTTTTATTTATTTTTTCAGCAAAATTAGAAAGAATGAGAAAAAAGAAATGGGGAATAATTTTTCCCATTTCTCATTCTTTCTAATTTTGATGAAAAAATAAATAAAAAAATACATTTTTTCAGCAAATTTGAAAAGAATTTTTAATTTTCCTGAAAAAATAAATAAAAAATACATTTTTTCAGAAAAATTAGAAAGAATGAGAAAAAAAATTAGAAAAAACAAATGGGGAAAATTAGTTTGGAGGAAAAAGTTTGGAAAAATTAATTTGATGAAAAGTATCAAGAT